AATTTACTTTATTTCATTCTTTTTGCAACTTAACATATTCAGTTATTTAATGTTACTTTTATCATTGGAAAAATAATTTTTAAAAATCTTATGTCAACCTTTTCTTCATATCTGATTTTTAGAGAGCAAATCTCTCCAATATTTACTATAGATATTTTTATCTGTTAGTGAATAAAGCTATAGCAGTTTGATTATTTTACTATCCAATTTCCAGAATGACTGATCACCTTTTTTTCCAAGGCTTTAAGTTTCAAAAATTTAGATGCCTAAAATTCTCCAGGATACCATTTCTTCTGCAACATTTTGCTGCTTCCTACCACTTTCCAGATAAAGGTTGTAGAGATATGGAGAGAAAGGTCTTCAAAATTAAGCATTACGAACACAAACTTTTTCAGTCATCTCCCCTTATGCATTCAGCTTTGCACAACTGGGTATGAAAAACACTCACATTTCATCTGTATTAAATGTTGTCAATTACATTCTCAAAATTCCCTGAGGTGTGCCTAACAGCCACGCTAATACTTTCAAACAGCATGACCAAAGCAGAAAGCTGCATCCTTGAATAAGACAGGAGGTTCTGCTTAAAGCCTCCCCACAGGACGTCTCATTTATTTGGAATCTGTGTGCAATGGTTTGTTTATTTCTAGGTTTTCAGATTGCAAGTAAGTCTACTACAATATAGAGGTGAGAACACTAGCGTTTTCATCTAGGTTGTTATGTTTCTTAGCTCAACTGAGAGGGTACAGCTATAGTCAGTTACCTTAAATGTCATGATGGTTCGTCTTTGTCATCTTCTTTCTTTTTTCAGAATCTACTGCCCTTGAATAAAAATCCAAGCTCCCCGCCATGCTCTTCAAGGTTCTGTACTGCAAAGCTTAAACGTCACGGTTAAGAAATGAACAAGGTGAGGGACCTTGGTGGGTGGCTCAGGGATGGCTTCTTTCATCTGAAGGATTAGAACAGTGTGGAGAGGAGCACAGAGACCCACGGTAGGATGGAGCCTGGCTTCTCCAATGGAAAGGAAGCCACTGTGGCTAAAACACAGGGAGCCAGATGGAGCTTCACATAATACGGAACTGGAGAAGTTGTGGCTTTTCAACAATACTGTTCTTTTTAAAAAAGTTATCTTTATTGCTGAAAGTATTACAGAGGTCCCCCTCTTCCCCCTTCATCATTAATCCTTCTTCCCACTCCCGCCCCCTCCCCAGGCCTTCACCGAACTATTGTCTGTGTCCATGGGTTACGCATATGTGCATACAAGTTCTTTGGTTCATCTCTGTTCTTGATTAACCCAGATCTCTGACTTGGGCATTACTGGCTTCTCCTTAGCGTGTTGATCCAGTGCCCTGTGTTCCTAACAGCCAATGCCACGTGAGTCCTCCCATCAGCTTTGTGCCCGGCAAGTCCGCACCGCAGCCGGTGAGCAGGAGACACTGAGGTGCGCTCGCATCCCAGGATGGAGCTCCCTGAAACAACCTTCCCTGCTGGTTGAAGACAACTTCAGAGTCAAAGTTACTTCTTATAAGCCTGCAGGATCACCCTGCCCTAAATTTAGATTAGAGAGAAATTTGGAGGTAACCAGAAACTAACTTAAGACTCATTCAATTAACATGCCATCCAATTTGTGAGAAATTCAAGTACTTCACCACATAGGGGTAGGATGAATGGTTCTGAGCTATGAGGAAAGAAAAAGACTAATGTCCATCTCATCTAGTTAACTGTAGGTTTTGTTAGGAAAAAGACAATGTCAAGTTTTTCTCATCACCGAGTCTATGAAGCCTAGGGGCATACGTAGTATATGGTGGTATGTTTGTGGCTGGGCCGGTGTGGCTCAGCGGTTGAGCGTCAACCTAGGATTCAGGAGATGGGGCTTCAATTCCCGGTCAGGGCACATGCCCCAGTTTCGGGCTCAATTCCCAGCAGGGGGTGTGCAGGAGGCAGCTGATCAATGACTCTCATCATGGATGTTTCTATCTCTCCCTCTCTCTTCTCTCTTCCTCTCTCTGAAATCAATAAAGATATATCTAAAAAAATAATAAAAATAAAATAATGTTTGTGATATAAATGGATAAATGGCTGATAGTAGGGGTGGTATAGGGAAGGTCTAAGATGAGCCTAGGCTATCTTGTTATGCCAATAAGTAAGGAAGTGATTTAAAAAAAAAATGCATGGACAAAAGAAAAGCATACCGAAGCCAGCTTGGCCATATCTGGGACAATTTGAAGCAATAAAATATAGGACAGTAACCTACTGAATAAAATAGGAATCTACAAGTCTATCTTGATAGATAGTAAATGAAATTGGAAGAAGGAGGGCTCTCAAAGGATAATTTAGACAAATAAATGTGGATGAAGTAATGATAATTTTTTAGTTATCATGTTTATTTATTTGGGTGAGAATCATTGATGGATGCTAAGTCTAGGGGGAAGAGTGTGATAAAGAGCAGGATTTTATATGTTCTTAATATGACTACCTTCAGATTGCTTATAGTTGCAATGATAAATGACAACTAAAGTCACAACTTAGATTAAATGTAATCTAAATGCAATATGCGCTCTTGGACTGAATCCTGAACTGGAGGTAAAAACATTATAAAGGACTTTATTAGAACAATTTAATAAATTGGAATATGGACTGCTTTGATAAAATGCATCATATTGATATTAAATTTCTTGAATTTAGTAACTGTGCCAGGGTTACATAAAACCATAGCTTTATTCTTAGGAAATACATACTAGATGTTGAGGGATAAAGGGGCATAATAAATGCAACCTATTCTAAAGAAGTTCAGGAGGGAAATCTATATAACACACACATACAGAGAAAGGAAGAGACACAACAGTATTGCAAATGTTAAAAGTTGTGTGCCTGTGTAATGCATATTATGCTCTGTATAATTTTTGCAACTTTTCTGTGAGTTTGAAATTACTTCCAAATAAAAAGATAAAGAAATAATATAGATGATATATAAAACAAAACAAAATAAGGTCAGAGTGGGTATAAACTGAGTACCGCTGCTCATCAAATAATGGCAGAAATTTTGACCAATGAAAATGAGAGAGCAAGGGGGTCTTTAACTCAGGAAAAAACAAACAAAACCAGGAAGCTTCAGAAGTGGAGATATGGAGGAAGGAAAGTGAAGGCATAAGGGGGAAAAGAGTCTTGTTTAACTAAAGTGTATGAAATTATAGACATAAATCAACAATGGTGGTTGGAGATGTATTGTTAGAGTCTATCTTAATTGTTTAAGTGCAGATTATCAACTCAAATTTAAACAAGTATATTATAGATAATATATCCTATCTTAATATATAATGAATTACAATATGGGTCATAAAGAAATATATATATATATTTTTAACTATAATTTCAGAGAAGAAACTATTTTTTCTAGCTCTTTCTAAATCTAAATGAAAACCACTCAAATAAAATAGTCTGGATATGCTGCTCATATATTTAGTTACAAAACTAAAACCCAAATATGCTGCTCAGAAACTTAAAAACAAGAACAAAACTGGAGACAATTATTACAGTGAACTTTGGATCCAGTTTAAGTTATTTCAAAATCTTCATTTTATACAACTATTTGTTAGAATGCTGAAAACTTATTTGAAAGAAAGTCTGCATTTTCTAATCATTTGGCAGCTCTTTTCTTTCTTCTAGTTACTTCAGCCTGTGTGGTCAGTCCTTTCTCCAGCTTTCAAAAGGAAAACGGATTCTCCTCTCCAGGCTCCCCTCTTTTTGCTGGGAGCTACTTTGCAGTCTGCACCATGCCCTGGGTAGCCAGCTACGCACTGACTCCTTACATTGGAGGCAAGGACCTGCTCTGCCTGGGATTTGTGGGAGTTAACAACTGACCCAAGGGGGAATGTTTCACAAGATCAAAGGCAGCTGTGAGGTCAAGGGGGCTGAGGCTGGCAGGAAGGCCTGGAGGCTTAGCCCCGAGGAAGAAGTGATTGGCAGCTTTGTGTTTCAAGGGGTAAAATGAGTAAAAGCTGGATTAGAGAAGGTCAAAGAGAGAATTAATGGAAAGAAATTTAGAGGAACAGGTGCAAACTTTTGACCAAGAATTACTTAACCAAAAGAACAATGTTATGAGGAGAAGTCATCAAAACCTAAGGAGTCAACAGGGGATACTGTACTCTCAGGACATAGTTCAGACTCTGGGAAAGATGAGTATACCTGAGATGGCAGTACAACCAGAGGAAGGGGTTGAGAAACAAAGGTTTCCAAAAAAGCCACTCAATGAGAAACAGGGTTGGGAAAAGCTGACCCGGAGAACTTGAATCCAGCAGAGTGTGCTGTGAAGGGCACTTAAATCCATATGTCACAGTGGGTAATGGATTAGAAGCTGTGAAAAGTACAAGTGAGACAAGGGTAAAAGAGGAAAGAGTGTTACTAAAGAAAAAGGAACAGAGAAAGGCTTCTGGGAAGTAATATTTTATGTTAAAAACAGTGGCTAAGCCAACAAGAGGAGCTCAGCACAACATTATATAGGTGCCTATGAGATTTGTTATTTAAAAAACTTTTAATGATAAAAAATGTTTGCTTCAAAAAGATTATATTTAATATACATATAAGATATAAAATCAATACTAATAAACATGTCATCCTACCTAAGAGCTAGAATATTATTATGACCCCCCAAAAAAAGAGAAGCCGAGCCCCTTTCCCAATTCCTTGCACAGAGGCACTGTGCAGTCATGTATGTGTGGCTTATCCTTTACTTTTTTTTTTCAAATTGATGACAACTTTATTTCTTACACTTAAAGGCTAATGAAAAACCATTATAAATTCTATTAAAGAAAATACAACATCTCAATTAAAAACTATGGTGACTATATTTACTCATTAAATACTATTATGTTTTCTAAAACACAACTTGAAAACATCCGGCATGCATGTTTAATCTCAGTACATCGGATTCAAGATCAAATATACATATACATATAAGATATAAAATCAATACTAATAAACATGTCATCCTACCCAAGACTAGATTACAAATGATCATAGTTATCATCATCGTCATCGTCATCATCATCTTCACATTTTCTTTTCATTGTATTTGATGATTCATTGGCAGTATTTTGTGATGACACCATGTTAGTGGTGATAAGAATGTTTTTGGACCCAATCAATGATGAGTTAATCAGAACATTCTGAACTGCTGATGTTGCAGGAATTGANGGACCCAATCAATGATGGGTTAATCAGAACATTCTGAACTGCTGATGTTGCAGGAATTGATGCTTTTACAGCTGGGGACTGTGAAGTGGGCATCTGTACTGTAAACCTTTGCCCTGTGAGGGACATTGGAGTCCCCACTTTAGTTGAAACTGACATGGTTTGTGGGATTGGTGTGCCAAGTGTGGGAGTACTTGGTTTGCTGGTCACTGAACCAACACTTAACCGTGGAATTGTTATTCTTCCTGCAGAAGTAGATGCCTTTTTTAAAAAGACTTAAGGCTGTAGTTTGGAGCAGTCAAGCAATATCTATCAGGTGGCAATCTAGGACCTGAATATGGCTTGATCAATGGCAACGGGGTTTGATTTCTTTGCCTTGCAATATCTAACAAAAAATCTCTTGGGGGAAAAGAGGTAAAAGACTGGTCAGCACGACCCTGGATTGCCAATTGCACATCATCTGCATCAACAGTAGCTTTCTTAGCATGGCTTGAATAAATTTTTGCATCTTCTAGAATTGTGGTCACATATTGGAAGGCCAACTCCAACATCTGATTTATAACTCTCCGCTCATATTCTGTAATCCCCATATCCTTCAGGACTTGTGCCATCATCTGTGCATCTTTTGGCATGCTCTTGGGAGAAACCATCTTGCCAGACTCCATGATACTAGGGGACAAGACTTCTCGAGCTAAATCACCCACGTTAATGTATTCCAGTCCCGATCTTGATGCAAGTTCTTTGCCTAATGTGGTTTTTCCAACCCCTAGTGTACCCGTAAGCAGGATGTTTGGAAGCAACCTCCTTTACTTTTTAAAAATTATTTTTTAGCCCTGGGTGGGTGGCTCAGTTGGCTTCAGCATCATCCCATACACCAAAAGTTTGCAGGTTTGATTTCCCATCAGGGCACATACCTAGGTTTCAAGTTTGATCTCCAGCTGGGGTATGTATGAGACAACCAATCAATGTTTCTCTCACATCAAAGTTTCTCTCTCTCTCTTTACCTAAAAAATAAATTAAAAAATCAATAAACATATCCTCAGTCAAGGTAATAATAATATTTTTCCCACATATTTATACATCCCTAAACATTATATTGGTTAGTATTCCTTCTCATTGAGCTTTATAAATGTGGTACCTCAGTACCACTGTATGGAGGGTAATGTGCACTGATGTTTATATTCTGTATTAGTCAAGTTTTTCCACAGATGCAGATACAATAGAATATGTATAGATATATGTATTTATAGTTTAAGGAATTGATTCATATAGCGGGGACTGGCAAGTCTGAAATTTGTAGGCCAGGCTGGCAGGCTGGAAATAAAAACTCAGACAGGGTTTCTATGCTGTAGTTTCAGAACTTCTTCAAGAAACCTCAGTCTTTGCTCTTAAGTCCTTCAAATGATTGGGTAATGCCCTTCCATATTATGGAGGGTAATCTGCTTTACTTAAAGTCTACTGATTATAAATTTTAAATCACATCTAAAAAGTATCTCCACAGCAACTCTAGACCAAACAACTGGGCACCATAGTTTAGTCGTTGACATGTAATATTAACCATCATGTGTTTTAATATTCACCCTTGTTGGGTACAGCTTTAAGTCGTTTCAGCTCACTCATCATTCCATTGTTTCCATGTTCTCCCATCAATTGACACTTATGTGTTTCCATTTCTCAGGTGTTATAAACAAAGCTGCAATAAACATTTCTGTGCATGTCCCTTTGTGTGCAAGAATTCCTCAGGAGTGTAAGAATGGAATTGCTGAGCTGTAGACTGGGCTCATTAAACTTTAAATGACAGTGCTAAACTGTTCGCTAAAGTAATTGTATCAATTTACATTTCTTTCAAAACATTTAAATAGGTGGAGTTGTGGTTTTAATATTCGAGTTTTAAAAACACAGGATTAAATATATAAAAAGAGTCAAATGCATTTGACAATTTGATCTTAGCCACTCTATCTCTTCCCTTATACCTCCATACTTACTCCTAGATTATTTAGAATTGGAGCAAGCTTTGTGAGGAGCTTGTAATAAAGACATTGTAAGCCAGTCCTTCATGCAGCACATGTTTTTTGAGCTTCTGCTATGTACGCAGCTCTGTGCTAGGCACTGGGCAGGGTATATAATGGTGGATGATGTCCCATCCATGCCTTTTTAACTAAGAGTCCAGAAGGGAGATAGATATATAAATAGGTAACTATAACAGTGCTAAGAGTAGGTATACATGTCACCATACAGTAGGGGTGCCTATTTATAGTCTTGAGGATTGGAGGACTTTTTATAGGATAAACACTATGGTGACTACAACATACAGGCATTGGTAGGCATGGGTAGATATATACATGGGTAAATATGTGGCACTCTATCTAATAAATATTTGCATTGCTATGTAGGGTCCACTGGAGTTTGTACTAAGTCTACTTCCCTGGGGTTGTACATCATAAAACTTTTCACATGTACAGAGAAGTTCAGTGAAGCAGCATTTCAGTTACCCATAGCAAGAAATCACCACCCTTAAAGTGGGAAAGACAACTAATAAGAACCCCAAATCCTGAGGATCATTCAAAAGCCATCTTTGAATTTGCTTTCTGGATGCTTCTCCTGACCCCGTTGAGCAAGGTACCAAGAAAGCTGTAGATGTGAGTTTCTTCTTGATCCTGACATGATCCTTACTCGAACCAAGAGTTTAAGAAGAGGGCAGAGAGACTCTTCATTTCCTTCCAGTGGTGGCACAAGGTAAAGACCTCATGGGCTAAACATTTTTTATCTGCTTGAGTTACAGGATGTTATTCATATGGGTTTACCAAATGATATGGTTTATTTCTTCAAATAATAAGCAGTCATTTCTAGGGTAGTGGCTCTTAGCTTGTTGTTTCTTTGCTGCATATTTGTTAACAAGTATATTTATTAAGACTGCAAGATCTTTACTTTGCATAATTCATTTTCCATAGCTACTCTTCATAATCAGGTCTTTGCAGTCTGTAATAAATGTCTTTATAGGAATGCATGACTATAAAAATGGGCTAAAATCCAATATACAGAAAAACAGTGAGTTTCAGATCAGCTAGCAGGAAGATTTATTTTAGCAATATAGCTCTATGGAGGCTGCTGCCTGGTACTTTTTATCCAGCTTACAGCATTTTATCTCCTTATGTTGGCCAGAGTTAGTCCTAAGAGTAGGATTCATCTTTAGGATGCCTTACGTGTCAATAAACTACACTGGTCTTGCAGAAGGCTCCAGCCCCATTCACACCATCCTAGGAACATAACAGTTCCTTCAGGCTGTACACTTTACCTGTTCCTTCTGTCAATTTGTCTGTTTTCCCTCTCATAGTAACAACAGGTATCATAGTACTTGCAGTGATACCACAGAAGGCGGGAGGGGCAGGTGGGTGGAGCACAGAGCTGAGAGCAGGGCCATTAAAATGTACTGATCTCTTGAATCCTCAGCGATCTCCCCCTGCCCTATTTTCTAGAATGCTAACAGCCAGTTGTATGATGACCATTCACCAAATTCCCTGGCATTCAACAGGGAATTAGAGACTTTTTAGAGAAACTAAAATTTCTATAAGAAGAGATTACCAGATACTGACACATCTCTCACCAAAAAACCTTGTTTACTTCAGAACTAAACATCATCCCACTTAGGTCATAGGTCGACAGGGCATGCCCATGTGCACCACGCTTCCACTGATGGAAGGTCACGTTCATAAACCCTGAGCTTCTAATCAGTGACTTTGGAATTGCCAGCCTTAAATGTGAATGTTCAGTCAAAGATCACTATACATTTGAGGAACTTATCCAACATTAAAGAGAAAAACAAACAAACAAATAATAAAGGACCCATAAAAAACAGAGACGATGCAAAAGAAAACAAACAAAAATCTATATTTAATATCTTCAGAGCCATAAAAGATACTACACCCATAAAACAAACACAAGAGGCTATAAAAAAATCAAGGGATTAGAAAGAATCTTTAGGATTAGAAATATGATGCTAGAATACAAAATTTAATAAAGATTGGAGGGAGAAGTTTAGGAACTCTAGAAAATAGAGCAAAATAGAACAAAAGGAGGCAGAAAATGGAAGAAAAGGAAATTAGGCCAATCTGGAAAGTCTAACATCAAACTAATAAGCGAGACATAAAAAACAAAGATGAGAAAATTATAAGAGAAATAACAAAAGATTTTCTAGACACTCAAATACTTTAAAAAAAGGATCTTTCTTGTTTTTCTTCTTGAGGGGCTGCTGGAAGGTGCACTCAAGCGAAGTAGAAAGAAAGAGGAAAACCAAGAAAAGTAGTTTTTCTATCTAACACAAGAAAAGGAAGAAAAAGAAGCCCTAGCATGTTCTTGGGAGAAGGGGCTACCAATTTGATCTAGTTAAATATCAGGAAACATTAGGAAAATATAGAAAAGAAGAAGCAATTATTAACTTTAGGGAAAATATTGTACAAGAAAGAAAATGAAATTGTAGCACACTTCTTGACTCAATACAATACTTGCATAGAAAATAAAGGTTGTGATATAATAATATTGGGAGGAAGAGGGGACAAGAGGTAAGAATGAGTGGGGATGATGATGCAGGAGAGTTGAAATCTCAGCCACCATAACACTGATACCATTGTAATTAGCTAGTTATCAATAATAGGAAAGGAGCAAAGGGAAGGCCAGGCATTATAAGCATGGCAATTTGGGCAGCTTCACCAGAAAGCTGCAATTTCACACTTCCTGGGGAATGACCAGCCCATTCCCCACAGATCACTGGGGGAAGGGGCCCAACAAAGGGGAAATAGACACATTCCCAGTGAATTTGGGGTGACTTGGAAAGGGGCCTATCAGTCAAACCTGGAAACAGAGATCATTGGCCAGAATGGGCAGGGACATTGCAAGCACCTGAAAATTTGGAGGTACATAATCCCCTCAAAAAAGAGCTCTCTCTTGGCTTGTGGCTTGCTCTTGGCTCTCTGGTTCCTTTGGCTTTGAACTTGCCCAAGTTCTCTCCTTAGCCTCATGGCCCATGGCCATGTGGACCCCACATGCAGTGGACTGATGGGCTGTAGTGGGAAACACAAACTAAGCTAACCTGATGCTGGACTGTACGCTGCCCTAACATGGAGCGGAAACTCTGGACACTGACTTTGATTTTAGCTGTGCTGAAGCCACAGGTATACTGCTCTGGCAGGATGGAGAGAGAGGGGAAACTCAGGGGTTTAATTCCACAGAAAAAAAGCTTTCCACAATATTTTATCCTTCTATGCAAGTCTCAGAAAATTTCTTTTCTCAGAATAGAGCAAGAAAGCCCACTTTCACTAGCATCAAATGGAGACATGGAGCATTCTCCAGCTGTAAGAACAAGATTAATATATTATGTCTAAACTGATGAATCAAGAAGTAGCAGGATAAGCACACTATTTAAAAATGTGAGATTATGTCAGTTGTAACCGAAAAATAAAAAATAAAAATATGCAGTTACACATCAGAAGAAACCTATCAAAGAGAGGAAAGTGGTGGACTCTAAGCAACAGGCTTAGGGAATATTGGGTCAGGGGCAGCTGTGTTCACCACAAGCCTTACAACCTACTTCATGTTTAAACCTAGGTGCATATATTCCATTGATAGAAATAAAATTCACTTTAAAAACTATGTGATAGGGGTTCTGTTA